TCAGAATCTACTCTAAGCCATATATACCTTTTTGAGGGTCAGCAACAGAAAAGGAAACTAAAAAGGAAAAAACATCATTTGCAAGGCAAATTGGTACAAGCTGACCCCAAAACAATGTAATGAACAATACTTAACACAAGCACAGCTATACTTGAAATTCTGCTTAACAATCACAAAGACAGACCACTTAATAAACAGGCATACCAGCACCACCTATATGGGCCAGAGCATCCCATTATTGGGTTACAAATGAATGAAGAGTGTCAAGTGGGAAATCTAATCCCTGCTATTGGACAACAAATTAAAGGAGTTCTATGTATATCTGGATTGAAGGTCTGGAGAACAACCAAAACCAGAATACAAACTGATCAACTGGACAACGGACTTGGCCTTTTGTAAAGGTCAAAGGGGCCACGCCAGTGTCTGATAGTGAAAGCGTGGGTGTATGTGAAAGCATGTCTCCCCTCAGCTCTGAAAGACTGATGACAGGACAATGAAGATAAAGCTCTGCAAGGCTCCATTAGTTCAGCTGGAAAATGAGTGGAAATGAAACCACTCTTTGATCTAAGAATATGACAGGACTTCATCATTTCTATTTAACAAGAAACCACTTCCACACCCTTTAGTTTGGTCATAAAACAAGCCAAGCCATAAACTACCAGCCAAGCTACAAACGCTGCAAGGAAACCCTTCTACTCAGAGGACTGCCACTGCCACGTCTTCTCCACATTGCACCTTGTGCCTTTTCCCGGTCTGCAGGGCCCTCTCTTCTCAATGTAAACCTTTTTGTTCTTCACCCACCTTTTCAAACTCGGAGTAGAGCCCCACTTCCTTTTTGAAGTCCCTCCACTGTCCCTAAATCTCATGGGATTACCTGAGGCATTGCTAAGCCCACTCCCGCCCTGTCTCAGCAACCAAAAAGTGCTCCTTACGAGCGGGCCTGACAAAAGAGATAATACAGAAGAGATCATAATGAACGAAGGGATGTGTATCGGGGGCGTGGGAGAGTCTGCAGAACGGGGGAGTGGAGGGTAGTTGGACCTCCTTTGGGTGAAGCCCCTGTGGAGAGATCCCTGGGCTGCCTGCGTTGTGCGATTAAGCTCACATCGTTACCAAAGGCTTCTACCAAAAGGAAAAGGGAAGGAGCCTCTAACACTAGCCCCGAGGCTCTGCGAAGGAAAGAGGGAAAGAATTCACCCCTGACCCGGCACGACTTCCCAACAAGCCTCCGCGCCCCGGAGGCGGTTTGGTGCTGTCTTTCGGTCCCCGCCGCGCCTGCGCACAGAGGCCGGCTCCGCGGGAGCGTGCTCTCAGGGCCGCCGCGCACCCCATCTCCGCCTCTCTGCGCAGGCGCGAGTCTTGACTCCCAGCGTCCGCTGGCAGCGGCGGCGGCTGGGAGCAGGGCTGGGCTGCCCTGTGGTTGCAGAGCGTCCCTCTTAGGGAAGGCCAGAGCTGGGCGGTGTACTGGGTAGAGGTATCCTCGGTGACAATCACAGAGGCACTGTTCGAGGACTTGATCCCTGGCTGGGAAGAACTCAGTGGAATGGGTACACAGGCTGAAAAGGATGATCATTGCATGCTGTTTGCTCTGGAATACAAGGAGGAGCCTCCAAGAAGAGCAGTAACAGAAGCGAGCTCATCGAAAGAAGGCAAGGGAGAACATTCAAACAGCGTAAAAATCCTGAGGCACGAAACGCCTTGTACTTTTCTAGGGGCTGCAAAAACAGCATGACTGGAGGGAGAGTGTAATCCTAAACGAGTCTGGAGGAAGGGTGGAGCACAAGAGGTTGGGATTTGATCCTAAAAACCATTAAGTTTGAAAGCAGCCTAGTGACCAATCTTTAACTCACCGCTGGTGAGTAAAAGCCTTTATTCGCCAATAGTGAGGAGCCTGGCACGCTGCAGCCCATGGGGTCACCAAGAGTTGGACGTGACTTAGCGACTGAACAACAAATGAGTAATAAGGAGTTCGAGAGAGGTGGGAAATACTGGGGGTGAGGGGTGGACTCAACGGGACTTTGCGAGGATAGAGAAAAGTAGATTGCAGTATGATTCCCCCCAGGAGCCAGAATAGGACAAAAACTGAGTCACGGCAGAGGAATGGTGGGACAGCATAGGAAAGAATGCTTGGTGAGCCTGAACGGAACTCTGATCTGAGACTTCCCTGCTTTTGCAAGCAGAGCACTTGGAATTCAACAAGAAATTAGAAAATAGAGGAGGGAACAGTACTCAATCATAGTAAGATATAAACAATCAAACCCAGGAATATGTCAAAAAGCATAATATCATCATGACCAAATAGGATTGGTCCTAGAAACGCAAGGTTGGTTTAAAATATTCAAAAAATCAGTAAATGTAATTGACCATGTAAACAAAGGTGAATAAGGTGAACTTTCCAAAGAAGAAAAAGCGTATGACAAAAATTCTCACCAACTAGAATTAGAAACATTTTTAGTATGTGGAAATATGAAATATTGCAGAAAATATGAAAATCAACTATTTCTATATACTAAAAGATAAACTATCACTAGATGAAATTTTGAAATATATACTATTTGCTATAGCATCCAAAAGTATGAAATACATCAGAATAAATTTAACAAGATATATGCTGGATCGGAACACTAAGATCTATAAAACATCACTGAGGAAATTAAAGATCTAAATAAATGAGATTAAAACATGTTCATGGATTGTTGACTCAAAACTGGGATGGCTATTCTCCCCAAATTGAGCTACATTATACAGGATCCAAATAAAAATCCCAGAAGGCTTTTTTCTTTTAAGAAACTGGCAAGATGATTCTAAAATTTATATGATAATGCAAAGAAACTGGAAGAGCCAAAATATCTGTGAAAAAGATCAGCATTGGAGGATTCAACTGCCTGATTTCAAGGTTTACTACCATGCTATAGTAGTCAAGACAGTGTCATATTGGCACTAGGATAGACAGACCAGTGGAAAAGAATAAAATCCAGAAATAGACCAACATATATGGTTAGTTGACTTTTGACAAAAGTGCCAAGGTAATTCAACAGAGAAAGAATTGTCTTTTCCAGAACTGGTGCTAGAAGAATTACATATTCACTTGAGGGGGGGAGGGGAATGAACCTCGGCCCTTACCTAACACCATGCACAAAAATTAACTCCAAATGGATCACAGATGTAAAAGTAAAAGCTAAGACTACAAGGCTTCCAGAAGGAAACTTAGGAGAAAATTTTCACAACCTTGAGTTAAGCAAAGATTTCTTAAAATATCAAAAGCATGATCCACAAATGAAAGAAAACTATTTGACTTCATCAAGTTTTAAAATTTCTCCTCTTCAAAAGATACCATTTGTTTTTTAAATGAAAAGGCAAACCATAGACAGGAGTGGAAAATATGTATGCCTAATACAGTCATCCAAGTACAAAAAACTACAATAAGAACAATAACTCAATTTTAAAATGAACAAAATATTTGAACAGATATTTTTTCAAAAGAAAATACACAGATGACCCATAAACAATTGAAAAAATATTCAACATCTTTTGCTATTGAAGAAATATAAATAAAAACCAGAAGAGCTGTCACTATATACATCCACCAGAATGACTAAAATTAAGAAGACTGACAGTGCCAAGTGTTGACAGAGATGTAGAGCAACTGGAATTTTCATGCATTTCTGGTAGAAATGCAAAGTGGTACAGAAAATTTGGAAATAGTTTTACAGTTTCACATAAAATTTAATATATACATACCAAATAACCAAGCAATTACACTCCTATGTATTTATCCTAGAAAAACTAAAACATATTTTCATTCAAAGACTTGCCCTCAAATGGTACAGCATTTTTATTCATAATAATCTAGAACTAGAAACTACCCAAATATTTATCAACAGGTTTATCAGTCAGGGATGTAGCACAGGGAATTGGCTACTGCAATCATGAGGATTGGCTAGACAAGTCTGAAATTGGTAGGACAGGTTGTCAGGGAGAGCAGGCTGGAAGCTCTAGCAGGATTTGAAGCTGCAGTCCAGGCAAAACATCTTCAGAGAGACTTCAGTTCCACTCTTAAGGACTCTCAACTGATTGCACCAGGCCCACCCATGGTATTGAGGCTAATCTTTACCTAAAGGTAACTGGGATTGTAGATGTAATCACATCTATAAAATACCCTCACTAGAAACTGCCACATAGAAGGTGTCAGCCACACCCTCATTTTGATTGAATAACTGGTTGCAATAACCTAGTCAAGCTGACACCTAAAACTGACCAGCAGGTGTCTAAATATACAAATTTTGGAGTACTACTCAACAATAAACAGAAACAAACAGCAACAATATGGAAAATAAATCTCAAACACATTTTGCTCAGCAAAAGAGGGCAAACAAAAAGACCCTGTATGAATCTGCTTATATGAAATTCTAGAACAGTCAGTACTAATGTACAGTGTCAGAAAGCAGAGAAATGTCTAATGCCAATTAGTAAGGGGAGGATATTGACTGCAAAGGGAAACAAGGAAATTTGGAAGAGTAACAGGAACTGTAACTTGGCTGAGGAGATGGCTACCTGGTTGTTGGTGGTAGTGTTGTTTAGGCACTCAGTCGTGACCAACTCTTTTGTGACCCCATGGACTGTAGCCCATCAGGCTCTTCTGTCTATGGGATTCCCCAGTCAAGAATACTGCAGTGGGTTTTCATTATTTGGGGACCACAGCCCTGGGGGTCCGGCCCTCTGGGCCTGGGGAGAGGCCCACACTTGGCATGCAGGGAAAGGAAACAAACAAAAAAGGCAAAGGCAGGGTGGACAAGGCTATGCTTCCTACCGGGGGGCAGAGCGTCTCCACGGAGGGCGCGGGCGGGCTCCCGAAGCAGGCCTCAGTCAGCCCCTGTTAGTCAGGACCGCGGTTCTCACGGTGTGGTCCGCAGCATCCACCTCACCTGGGCACCTGCTCAGAAATGCTCATTTTCTGGATCCCTCCGTGGGAAACGGTGGAGGTGGGGCCTAGCGCTTGTTGTTTTAACAAGCTCTCCAGGTGCTTCTGAGGCGCCAAGGGGAGGAAAGAGTGGAAGAACGGGATGGGGGCTGATTAGACCCCTCCCGGGGCCCCTTCCCAAGCTTCATAACGACCCGCTGAGGGCGGCCGGGCCCTCAGGTGAGGCCGCGGTAAGGCCGAAGTAAGGAAGCCGAAGAGGGAAGCGACCCGAGGAGGAGCCGATGAAGTGAGCGGAGTCAGGGACGGTGAGGAGGAGGAGAGGTTGCGAGAGGGCTGGGTCCGGGGGTAGGGTGGGCCTGAGGCCGCGCGCCGAGCCGCCTTCCCCGCGGGTGCCGGGCGCTGCACCTCGGGGCGCTGGGAGGGCCGGCGGGGCAACCCTTCCGCTCGGGGCGCTCCGCCGGGGCCCTCCGGCCAGCGGATTGTAATGGGCCTTTCCCCGGCAGCTGCTCGGCGCCCGCCCGCATCATGAATCGCAGTCCCATTAGCAGCACCTCCGAAAAGGAGACGCTAAGCCTGCTCTGGGGTGAGTGAGGCCCCAGGGTGTCCTCGGAGCAGCGGGGTCCTGGTGGCGGGGAACGAGAGAGGGCTGGAGGGAGAGAGGGGACGCCTCTCCCGCGGTCTCCGTCTCCCTTCGCAGGCTGTGAACTAAACCAGGAGAGGCCGACGTGGACCTTCAAACCCCAAAAGGTGGGGAAGCAGGACTGTGTGCTGTCGCTCAGTACGGTGGGTACCGCCCCTCCGAGGAGGGGAGAAAGGATGGGGCAGGGGGGAACTCGGCCAGACACGCAGGAGCAGGTGGCATCGTCCCCACAGCGGGAGCCAGGCTTCCCTCCTCCGCCCTCGCCCTGGGGGTGAGGAGGCGCCCTGCCCCTTTTTCCACCCGCTCAGATTTCCCTGGGGGAGAAAGCCAAAGAGGAGGTGAACGTCGTGGAGATCCTGCCCTCAGCAAGCCAGGACGACAAGAAGAGGAAGCCCCTCACCCTGGCCTCGCTTCGGGCCTCGGTCCTCCCCATGGTGAGCTTCCCGAGGGCCTAGGAAACCCTGGCTCCAGCCCCCGGAGGCCCTGCTCAGGCCTCACCCCTTGTGTGCAGATGGACACAAAGGTGTGGTGCAGGCTCCTGCAGATGTACCACCGGTGCCGGAGAGAAATAGTTTTTCTTGTTTAGTCGATAAATCGTGTCCCACTCTGTGACCCCATGGGCTGTATGTAGCCCACCAGGCCCCTCTGTCCAGGGGATTTCCCAGGCAAGAATACTGGAGTGGGTTGCCATTTCCTTCTCCAGGGCATCTTCTCAACCCAGGGATCAAACCTGTGTCTCCTGCATTGGCAGGTGAATTCTATACCAGTGAGCCACCTGGAAAGCCCAGAGAGGCATATAGCCCAGCACTAAAAGCCTGGACTCAGGAGCAGGGAGGCAGCTTTCCATCCTAGTCCACTCCCTTTTTTGTGGAGGGGAGAGGGGGGCGGTGCACATTGAGTCCTAACGACTGGCCAGCCAGGGAACTCTAGTCCACTCTTCACTAGTTGTGTGACTTTGGGCAAGTTAAATAACTTTTCTTCAAATCCCATTTTTCAACTGTTTACTGCTGGTGACCGTGTACTGTTGGTGATTTACACGCTGCTTGTGTATCCAGACTGTGTACCCAGAAATCTTCACTTCTAGTCATTTGAGTTTTCTGTGTAAATCTTTGTGAATAATGGCAATTTTTGTATTTGTTTTTTTTTAAGCCCGTCCACTGGCTGGGACCTCCAGTATAATATTGGATAAAATTATAATGGTAGATATCCTTGTTTCATTCCTTTAAAAAGGAATGCTTCTAACATTTCTCCATTCAGTATGAAGTATGTGGTAGATACTCTTTGTCAGGTTAAGGAAGTCTCTGTCTAATTCTTTGAAAAATTGACTTTTCCTCTTTTTAATCATTATTGGTTATCGAAAGTGTTTCTATTCATATGATCAGGGGCACTCTCTCCTTTAATCTGTTAATGTGGTAAATTATAGTAATATAATAATATTAAACCAACTTTGCATTCCTGAGATAAACATTACTGATTGTATTATAAATGTCTAGATTTGCTGTGTTAATAAGATTCTTTTTTAAACTAACATACTCATAAGTGAGCTTAGAAAGTGAAGTTGCTCAGTCATGTCCAACTCTTTGCGACCCAGTGGACTGTAGCCCACCAGGCTCCTCTGTCCATGGGATTCTCCAGGCAAGAGTACTGGAGTGGGTTGCCATTTCCTTTTCCAGGGGATCTTCCCGACCCAGGGATCAAACCTGAGTCTCCCGCATTGGAGGCAGACACTTTAACCTCATCTTATTTGGATGTCAAGGCATATTAGCCTTATGAACCGAGGCATGAAGTGTTCCCTTCTTTGTGGACAACAGTGATTTAAAGACCAGGATTATCTGCCCTTAAAGATCTGGGAGGTTGATCTGTAAAACTGCCCTCAAACCTATTTTTTTCTCTATCAACAAGATCTCCCTAGATCTATCCATTCCCATAGTTTTACAGACCACCTATACAAATGAAGACATGGAAATTTATTCTGTAAACCCAGCCTCTCTTGTGCTCCACATACTGTGTCCGACTCAGTAGGTTAACAGTTATCTAACAGTTATCCCCTGTGGCTCAGCTGGTAAAGAATCTGCCTGCAATGCAGGAGACCTGGGTTCCATTCCTGAGTCAGGAAGATCCCCTAGAGAAGGAAATAGCCACCCACTCCAGTATTCTTGCCTGGGAAAATCCCATGGATAGAGGAGCCTAGTGGGCTACAGTCCATGGGGTCACAAAGAATTGGGAATGACTGAGCAACTAACACTTCACTTCAATAGATATTACAAACTTAACCTATTAAATTCAAATTCTTAATTTTTATGTATGACCTTTTCCCCTATCCCCAAATCTGATCTTCTCCCAGTAAATAGCTATTTAGAAAACCTTCAAGAAGCCATAGCTAGGACTTCAGAAACTATATTGAATAAAAGTGGTGAGAGTGGACATCCTTGTCTTGTTCCTGATCTTAGAGGAAATGCTTCCAGCTTTTCACCATTGAGTATGATGTTAGCTGTAGGTTCAGAAATGGTATTTTACATTTTTATTTTATTATTGCTCAGTACTAGCATATAGTTATATAAGTGGCTTTTGTACTAACTGACCTTGCTAAATTTGCATGTTAGTCCTAACAGCTTTTTATTGATGCCACCGAATTTGCTATGTGCTTATTCATGGCATCTGTGAATAAACACAGTTTAACATCTTCATTTTCTATCTCTGTACCTGGCATTTCTTTTTCTTGTCTTACTTCACTGACTAGGACATCAAGTACAATGATGAATAAAAGTGGTAAGAGCAGGACTATCCTTGCCTTTTTCCAGAGGGCAAGTATTCAGTCTTTTACCATTCAGACAGATAAAAGATTTTTGTAGATGCCCTATGTTAGATTTAACAGTTGTATCAGTCTTTTTCAAGAACCAGATTTTGGCTTCATCAATCTTTTTCTATTGTTTATCCATTTTTGTATTTAATCTATCTGTTGTTAATTTCCTTCTTCTGCTTATTTTTGTTTTAATTTGATCTCTTTCTAGCTTCTCACAGCATAATCTTATCTTATCCATTATTAATCTCATATTGTTTTTAGGCCCTTTTTGGACATGAGCATTTCATGCTATGATTTCCTTCTGAGCATGTTTCTGGCTTCATCCTACCAATTTTGCTAAGAATATTCATTTTAATTCAGTTCAAATTATTTTCTAGTTTTATTCTTCACTCCCTGGGGTACTTAGAAGTATGTTTGCTTTTTAATTTCCAAATAATTAGAGATTTTCCATTATTCATTCTTTAATTGATTTCTGTTTTGATTGTGGTACAAAAATATACATTATTTGATTTCAGTCTAAATAGTGTTGTGACTTATGGCCCCTAATATATTCTGTCTTGGTGAATATTTTATTTATACTGAAGAACATGTGTTCTCCTGTGGTTGGGTATATTGCTGTGTAAATGTTGAGTATATCATATTGGTTGATGATTTTGTGTGAGCCTTCTATATCCTTGCTCATTTTCTGTCCACTTGATCTCTTAGTTACTGAAAGAGAAATATTGAAGACTTCAACAATAATTGTGTCTTTTTTCTATTTCTCTTTTTGATTATCAGTTTTGCTCCATGTATTTTGAAACTCTTTTGTTAGGTACATCCTAATAAGTTCTGTGTTTCTAAGATTATTAAATCCATTTGGTTATTTGACCCATTTATCATTATGAAGGGTTCCCTTTTTCCCTGACAAATATTTTGAAGTCTACTTAGTCGGATTAATATAGTCAGTCTAGCTCTCTTTGTATTATTGGTGTTTGTGTATTTTTCCTATTCTTTTATTTTGTTATTTTACTGAAACCTCTGTATCTTTATGTATAAATTGGATTTCTTTTCTATAGCACATAATGGAGTTTTACTTTTTTTTTTAACACTTTGATCATCTGACTTTTAGTTAGAGCATTTGCAAACTTTTGAGCATTATTTCTTCAAACATTTTTTTTCTGTTCCATCTTTCTCATCTCTACTGAGGAATCCAATTATCAATACCTGTCCCACACTTCATTTTGCTCTGTCTTCTTAAAATATTTTTCCTGTGTATTTCATTTTGGATAGTCTTTATTTACTCAATGTCATTTTTCTTTTCTTGCGCAGTATCTAACTTGCTGTTAATCTCATTAGTGTATTTTCATCTAATTAGATGACAAATCCACAGATCTAAGAAATTCTGTGAACCCCAGTGTGTCTTATAATCAAATTGCTCAAAACCAGTGATAAGGAGAAAATCTTAAAAGCAGCCAGAGTTAAAAAGGCATCTCACACAGGGGAACAAAGACAAGGATATGAGTAGATTTCTCCAAATAATGCAAGCTAGAGGACAATGGGAAATTTTTTGAAGTGTTTCATCTTGACTATATCCATTATTTTATTCTTCTTTTTTAAAATTCCTAGTAGTGCTTATCATCTTTCCTTTTTTCCCCTTCGCTTCGATCACTGGGTATTAGACTTTTTTTTCTTTTCAAAGAACAAGCTTTTGATTTTGTTGATGTTTTCTATTGTTTCCTTATTTTCTGTTTTACTAATTTCTCTGGTTATCTGATTTTTTGGCTTGCTTTGTTCCTTTTTCTTATTTCCTGAGTTAGCTATTTAGTCCATTCATGTTCTAGCTTATTTTTTCCAAGTACATTTTGTTTGTTTATTTTGAATACCATAAATTTCCCTCTGAAGATTTTTTAACTGCATCGTTTGTGTTTTGTGATATTTTCACTATTTTATTTTAAATGTTTTCTGATTTCCATTATGATTCTTTTTTTGTTTTGTTGGGTTTTTTTGTTTGTTTTGCCTATGCCTCAAAACTTTCTGGATCTTAGTTCCCTGACCAGAGAGCAAACCCATGCCCCCTGCAGTGGAGGCATGGAGTCGTAACCACTGCACTGCCAAGGAATTCGCCCATTACGATTTCTTATTTGATGCATGAGTTACTTAGAATTTTTAATTCCCAAAGATATATATATATATATAAATTCTGTGCATTTGAGACTTGATTTGTGGCTTACTACATGGTAGTATTATAGGATTATATGTATTTTCCACTAAATCAAACTTATATAGTTAAACCTATATATTTTTTGTCTCTCTGATCTGTTGATTACCAAAAGAAATGTGTTAAAACTTCCTACTGTGATTGTGAAGTTTCAGTAGATTCTTCTCATAATTTTGTTACTTTGTATATGCTTATTTTTTAATTGAAAAATTTTTTAGATAATTACAGATTCACATGCATTTACAAGAAAAGATACTGAGAGACCCCTGTATGTTTTGCCTAGTTTTCTCCAGTGGAAACAGTTTACAAAACTGCAATATGATATCAAAGCCAAGATGCTGACATTGATACAATGCATGGGTATTGTTGTGTACCACTTTATCACCTAAGTTTTTTTAATTTTATCTATTTATTTTGGCTGCACTGGGTCTTTG